ACCCCAGCTCCCACCCCAGTTCCCACCTCAGCTCCCACCCCAGTTCCCACCTCAGCTCCCACCCCAGTTCCCACCCCAGTTCCCACCTCAGCTCCCTCCCCAGCTCCTACTCCAGGTCCCACCTCAGCTCCCACCTCAGCTCCCACCTCAGCTCACACCCCAGCTCACACCTCAGCTCACACCCCAGTTCCCACCTCAGCTCACACCCCAGCTCACACCTTAGCTCACACCTCAGCTCCCACCCTAGCTTACACCCCAGCTCACACCCCAGGTCCCACCCCAGCTCCCACCTCAGCTCCCACTGTATATCATACCATATCTCATACCATTCCTCACATCTCAGTTCACACCACATCTCACACTACAATCCAGCTCCTCTGGTTGGTCTTGAATCAAGGAGAAATGTTCTGGTGGCTTCTTCACTTGAGTCAACTCCAGGGGATAAATAAAGCAGCAGCTGAGGGAAATCAGCAGAAGTGGAAACAGGGCCTGTGAACATGAGCCAGAGAGTGGGGGGCCACCATGGGGTTTGCACACACCTTATCCCACACCCTTAGGTGGAGCTGCAGCTGTGTAGTCCATGTTACAGCATTAGCCCTTCCAGGTCAGGCTCTCCAGCTGTGGCCCTGGACTAGCAGCAATGGCATCTGGACACTTGAGAGAAATGCAAATTCTGGTTTTTGGTTTTTGGTTTTTGAAACAGGGTCTCAATATGTAGCCTTGGTTGGCCTGGAAGGAGGTTGTCCTCGGGCTCACAGAGATCCCAAGTGCTGGGATTAAAGATATGCATTACTCCGGGGGCGGTGGTACATACCTTTAACCTCAGCACTTGGGAGGCAGAGGCAGGCGGATCTTTGTGAGTTCAACGCCAGCCTGGTCTACATAGTGAGTTCCAGGACAGCTGGGGCTACAAGGAGACCCTGTCTCAAAAAGACAAAAAAAAAAAAAAAAAGATGTGTATTACCGGCATGTGTGTAAGGGACCTCATGTCCTGCAATACCCACGGAGGTCAGAAGAGGGTGTTGGGTCCCCTGGAACTGGAGTTACAGATGGCCACCTGTGGGTGCTGGGAGTCGAACCCAGGTCTTCTGCAAGAGCACTCAGTGCACTTAACCACTGAGCTATCTCTCTAGCCCATGAATTTTTTTTGAAATCCGAAATTTTCTTTTTTTTTTTTTGGTGCGGGTAAACTTTTTGAGACAGGGTCTCCCTATAGCTCCAGGTGTCCTGGAACTTGCTATGTAGACCAAGCCAGCCTCAAACTCACAAAGATTTCCTGCCTCTGCCTCCCAAGTGCTAGGATTAAAGGCCACTACTCCTGGCTCTTAATTCTGAAATTTTCATTTTCTGTAGTTCTCAGGTTTCTCCTGCTATTTAAAAATGGCAGGCCCCGGTGAAGACGCGGAGTCGGAACGGTCGTGGTCTCTGCCTCCTGCAGTTTCGGCGTTTCTGCGTAGACCCCGGGAGAAGGAGCCGTCCCTGTCGTCTCCTCTCTTGTTTTCCAGCTTTGTAAGAAGCTTTGTCAACGAAGAAAATGGCTAGCAATGTTACTAACAAAATAGATCCTCGCTCCATGAATTCCCGAGTATTCATTGGGAATCTCAACACTCTTGTGGTCAAGAAGTCTGATGTGGAGGCAATCTTCTCAAAGTATGGCAAAATCGTTGGTTGCTCCGTGCATAAGGGCTTTGCCTTTGTGCAGTATGTTAATGAGAGAAATGCCCGGGCTGCAGTAGCAGGAGAGGACGGCAGAATGATTGCTGGCCAGGTTTTAGATATTAATCTGGCTGCAGAGCCAAAAGTGAATCGAGGAAAAGCAGGTGTGAAAAGATCTGCAGCGGAGATGTACGGGTCAGTACCAGAACACCCTTCTTCGTCCCCTCTACTCAGCTCCTCATTTGACTTGGACTATGATTTTCAACGAGATTATTATGACAGGATGTACAGTTACCCAACACGTGTTCCTCCTCCTCCTCCTATTGCTCGTGCTGTGGTGCCCTCCAAACGCCAGCGTGTATCAGGAAACACTTCCCGGAGGGGCAAAAGTGGCTTCAATTCTAAGAGTGGACAACGGGGATCTTCTTCCAAGTCTGGAAAGTTGAAAGGCGATGACCTTCAGGCCATTAAGAAGGAACTGACTCAGATAAAACAAAAAGTTGATTCTCTTCTGGAAAGCCTGGAAAAAATTGAAAAAGAACAAAGCAAACAAGCAGATGTGTCCTTCTCATCCCCAGTAGAGGTAAAGAATGAGAAGTCAGAAGAAGAGCAGAGCAGCACCTCTGTGAAAACAGACGAGACTAATGTGAAGATGGAGTCTGAGGCAGGTGCAGATGACTGCTGAGGAAGGGGACCTTCTGGATCATCGATGATGATAATGAAGATCGAGGGGATGACCAGCTGGAGTTGATCAAGGATGATGAAAAAGAAGCTGAGGAAGGAGAGGATGACAGAGACAGCGCCAATGGCGAGGATGACTCTTAAGCACATAGTGGGGTTTAGAAATATTATCCCATTATTTCTTTATCTAGGCGCCTGTCAGAAATCAAAAATACACCAGGTCCTCTTCCCTAGTACCTTCAGCACATGCTCACTGCTCCCCTCTTGTCGGTCCTGTATCCATTAATTCATAATCGCCCTGCGCCTAGTTCATTTCCATGTTCACTTCCTTTGATGCTTGAGTAGTTTTGTTGCGTCTTACCCTGTAATTTTTGCTTTTGATTTTGATATCTCTTTGACTTAACAATAAAAAGTTGTATGGTTTTTAAAAAAAAAAAAAAAATGGCAGGCCCCAGTAGTGGTGCTAATTGGCACTGGATGCCTATGTGAGGCTTGGCCATCGTGGACTTCAGTGTCCTTATGCCTGTCATGAGAATGAACCTGGGCGGCTGGAGTGGCAGAAGGAGTGTTGAGTACATGATGCCTAGCAATCCAAAGTGTTGGCTATATTGGGGGCCTTGGGCCCCTCACCTCGCCTCCCTCATCCTCACCTCCTCATCTCAGGGACAGCTTAGTCTAGGGGCTGCCTAAGGGACAAGGAACCACTAGTCCTTACTTGCTAGTTGCCAAGCAACCCAGGATGAGCCTTGGAGGTCATTTCTCAGACAACTCAGCGCTTCCCCGTAGCCTGTGAACAGATGGTCCTGCAAGCAGTCAGCCCCTGCAGCCTGTCTCTGCCAGTGTGAGTAAAGAGAAGGGGGCTTCTTGGGCCATTTCTTGTGAAAAGAGAGGGGTCCTAAACCAGGCTCCAGGCAGCCCTGCAGCAACCCTGGTCTTGCCCAACGTAGTGCCTAGGAAGGAGGGAGAGACGAGAGTATTAGGTAAGTTAGTACTGCCGCTGTATTCTCTGGGTGGAGAACACATTCTCTGTGAGAGAACGCTTGTCCCATGTGACTGCTCACCAAAGGACACCCCTTGAGAAGAGGCTCTTGACTAGGGATGGCTGAGGAATCTAGCTCAGCTGGTAGTGTCTGCCTAGCATGCATGAAGTCCTGGATTTGATCCCCAGCACTCCATAAAACTGGTTGTGGTGGTGCTCACCTATAATCCCAGTTTGGGAGGTGGAGATGGGCCAATCAGGAGTTCAAGGTCATCCTTCCCTACATAATCAGTTAAAGCCAGGCGAGGTGGTACATACCTTTAATCCCAGCACTGGGGAGGTGGAGGCAGGTGGCCAGCTGGGGCTACAGGGAGACCCTATCTTTGAAAATAGAGAGATCGCCGGGCACACGCCTTTAATCCCAGCACTTGGGAGGCAGAGGCAGGCAGATCTCTGTGAGTTCAAGGCCAGCCTGGTCTACATAGTGAGTTCCAGGACAGCTAGGGCTACAGGGAGACCCTGTTTCAAAAAGACAAAAAAAAAAAAAAAGAGATCGCTGGCATGGTGGCCTATGCCTTTAATCCCAGCACTCAGGAGGCAGAGGCAGGAGGATCTCTGTGAGTTCAAGGCCAGCCTGGTCTACATAGTGAGTACCAGGACAGCTGGGGCTACAGGGAGAACCTGTCTCAAAAAAACCAAAAAAAAAAAAAAAAGATTAGGTGACATCTGTGGGTGCCACCATCTATTTTTAGGACAAAGTTTGAGAAGCAATCCCAGCCACACGGAGGCTTTACCTTTAATCCTTCTGATTGCCAGAAGATGAAAACATTAGAACACAGGATGCAGACTAGTCCTGGGCTGTCCCTGTCCTGTTGTCAGGTGTTAACAATGCTAAGCAAGAGTGGTCTGCTACTCTTAAAGCAGAACCTGTCAGAACGGGTCACGATTTTTACCTGATTTCAGACAATGTCAGGGTGACATACCAGGACTACCTAACCTTATGTGAGGTACCAAGAGCCCATTTAAATTTTAAAAAATTAAAAAAAATTATTTTATGCATATGAGCGTACAGCCTTACATGTATGTAAGTATATATATCCGTGTCATGCAGTCCCCACAGAGGACAGAAGAGGACATCAGATCCCCTGGAACTTGAGTTACAGATGGTTGTTAGACACCCTGTGGGTGCTGGGATTCGAACCTAGGTCTTCTGCAAGAACAGCAGTACTCTTAACCACTGGGCCATCTCTCCAGCCCCTTAAAAATTATTTTATTATGTATGTGCACTCACACATGCCAGCACATGTGCCAGGATGCACGTGTGGTGGTCAGAGGCAACTCATGGGAGTTGTTCTTCCACCATCTGGGGATAGAATTTAGGTTATCAGACTAGGTAGGAAGCACCTTTACCTGCTGAGCCACCTCTCTGGTCTTTATTATTCTAATAGAAATGCTAAACAGCACACCAACAGGTTTTTGTTTTTGGCTAGGACAAGTACAAATTCCCTGATAAATTTTGCAAACATCACGTGGGATCTTTCTACTGTAATGTGTCTAATTTATCTCCTGGTATAACTTGATTAATAGACCACAGATTGTTATTCCATCTGCATCCGGAGAGAAGGACAAATGTGACATGGGGATTCCCTGGATGCTGAGAATCTCCCATCAGCCACAGCATCTCTAGAGCCCAAGTCAACACACCCAGGAGCAAAGTGTCCATGCAGGGTGACACAGGCTCCTTGTGGCTGTAACCGCCTAGACCTTCCTGCCCAGCGCCTACCTGTAACTGAGCCTGCATCCTTGAGGCTCAGCCAGTCCTGGAGACTTCCTGAGACTCCACCAGGGCCTTCCTTCCTAAGGGAAGGGGCAGCAATTTGTTCCCTGAAGATCCTTTGGCTCCCCACTGTCCCTCTGTACCTCCATGCATGGACTTACCCAATGTCGAGGTTAGAGAGTGCTCACAGCCCTGTCTCCACCACAGAGCCCAAGATTCTCTGAAGATCACAAAGATGCTCCCCAGTGTCGATGCCATCCAGTGTTCCTCCTTTGAACTCATGCCCAGGACTAGGTTGCTTTATTACCTGCGAATATCCTGGGGCAGGCCCGGTTATACTGAGAGGCCTGCTGACCTTTGGGATGCGGCATGTGCTAGGAACCAAACTGCTTTTCCTCCTCTCATCTGCACGCCACTCCACAAACACCTTCCTCACACACCAAGCTAGCTGTGAGTCCTCTCATTCAATCCAGCTGTGATGTGGATCTACCTGCAGGTGGTATTATATCTGTAGGTCCGGGGCCTGGTCCCAGGAGATCATCCCCCTTCTTTTTTTTAATATTTTATTTTTTGTGTATTGCCTACATGTATGTGTACCCGTGTCATGCAATGCCCAAGGATCTCAGAAGAGGGCATCAAACTCCCTGGAACTAGAATTGCCACTGTGTAGGTGCTGGGAACCGAATGAACCCAGGTCCTCTGCAAGAGTAGCCAGTGCTCTTTAACTACTGAGCCATCTCTCCAGTCCTGCCCCCTTCTTCTTTGGGTTAGATTAATATTCTAGAACTGTTCATATGACTCTTGTCTTTTTTGTTTTGGTTTGGTTTTTTTGGGTCTTTTTGAGACAAGGTCTCCCTGTAGCCCCAGCTTACCTAGAACTCACTATGTAGACCAGGCTGGTCTTGAACTCACAGAGATCCACCTGTCTCTGTTGAGTGCTGGGGCTAAAGGCGTGCGCCACCACACCTGGCTTACCACTTGTCTTTTATCTTTCTTGTTATTTATTATTAACGCAAGGCAAGTCTGTCTCTGTAGCCCAGACTGGCCTCAAACTTGGAACCCTCTCGCCTCTACCTCCAAGTGCTGAGTTTAAATGCCTGGCATCAGTTTATTATATTAGTAAAGGATATTACCTAGGCGTGGTGGTATATGCCTGTAATCCCGGCACAGGAGGCTGCAGTATGAAGACTGCCATGGATTGGAGGCCAGCCTTTGCTGTATAGTGAGTTCCAGGACAGCCTGGACTGCAGTGTGAGACTCTGTCTGAAAAAAATAAAGATGGGGGAGTGGAGTGGAGAGCTGGCTCAGTGGTTCAAAGTGAGTACTGCTCTTGTAGAGGACTCACTGTTCAGGTGTCAGCACCCATGTTGGGTGGCTCACAATAACCAGCTCCAGGTGGTGTGCATCTGTTATCTCAAAACTCCCTGTTCTAGACTGACACCCTATTCTAGACTCTATGGGCACCTTCAGTCACATGTGCACATACCTATGCACCCACACACATACACATAATTTGAAATAAAATAAATCTTTAAAAAGCTGTAAATTAGTACAATACTCCTGAGGTGGCATCTGCAGCATTTACTAAGAATCTTGGGGGGCTGGAGAGATAGCTCAGCAGTTAAGAACACTGACTGTTCCTGCAGAAGACCTGGGTTCGAATCCTAGCACCCACATGGCAGCTAACAATTGTCCGTAACTCCAGTTCCAGGGGCTCTGACAGCCTCTTCTGACCTCCTCAGGCATCACAGGACACAGGTGCACTTACATACATACAACACACGCATACACATAAAAAAAGAGAATGGAAAAGAAGACAAAAACGTACTTTAGTTTGGTCAAGGGTGGTGGTGCGCACCTGTAATCCCAGCACACAGAAGGCTGAGGGAGGAGTTGGAGACTTGGGCAAAACAGCAAGAACCTGTCTCAAAAAAAAAAAAATTCTGTTTCAAACTTGACTGTAAAATATAACTCACATACAGGAAGATGCGTAAGACACAAATGTGTAGTGCTAGGTGTAATTATGAAACAAACACCTGTGTATTCATCACCCATCTCAAAAAATGGCAGATTGCAGGCACCACAGGTGTCCCCTGTGTGCCTCAGTCATATGCCCCCGCTCCCCTCTAAGGGTAATCATTCTTGTGTTTTTATGATAGTCTCTACCTACCATTATGGTTTTATGTCTCTGTAGTTCATCCATGCCATACAATGTAATTAAGATTTTTCTGGTTTTGAACTTGATGGAAATAGATTATTCCTGGAATATCTCGAATATGGCTTTGTCTTTCCCAGCATTGGATTCACATCACTCAGGTTGTTGTGAAGTATATTTTGTTTATTTTCACTGCTGACTAATATTCCATAGGGTAAAAGTGCTTGCCGTGAAATTCTGATGGCCCTGAGTTCAATCCTGGGAACCTACATAAAAAGCTGTATGTTGTGGTGTACATCTGTAATCCAAGACTCCCATGGTGAGGCGGGAGGCAGATGCAAGAGAATCACCTGGAAGCTACGGGGTCATCAAGCCTAGAGCACTTGGGGCAGCAGAAACAAGAGAAACCCTGTTCCAACCAGGTGGAAGGTGAGAACTGATCCCCAGCAGTTGTCCTTGGACATCCAAACTCACATGCCCACGCTCAAACCAAATAACCAAATAAATAAGCAAGTC